GGCTGCCGGCGTTACTCTGCACTGCATGGTAGTAGGCTACTATCCTTTTCTATCAGATAGCTTACCAGAGACTTACAACAAGGTAACAACTTTGTATTACCATAAAATCTTTCTGCTACAATACAATTTCCCTGCATTTATCAAATTTTACCCTTTTTTTTAAACAGATTGTGAACAGCCCTCTAATACTCCCAGAAGAACTAGATCCTGAACACAAAGATTTGCTCCAAGGCCTTCTATGCAAAGGTGCTAGTCTTTCCTTGAAAAAAACCCAAAATTTGAAGTTAGAAAGATTAACATGTGGTAAGATTTTATTTTATTTTATTTTTTTGCTTTTGCATTTTTACAGATCCTAAGCAAAGTTGGACATGGTAGCAGAAAATCCATGGATTACCAGGGGAAAATCTAATTAATTGTTCATGTTATTATATATATCATTCTACATAGGTACATACACACTATCTGGTACTTTTACAACACTTAAAGAAAAAAAGTGTTGTTTTCTCAAACTATATAAGAAAGAACACAGAAAATTAAGATTCATTTTCCTCAAATATGGGATATTCTTGTGGCAAAGGCGACCTCGCACGTCTGGCTGACGGAGATGGCTCGCTCCCCTGAGGTAAGTCAGAGATGGAAGCCAGGATCCGGCGAATGCTAACGGAACGAGCAGGCTTGAAGCTGAGAGAAAGAAACAGTCGGAGTGAAGAGTAAAGTACCCGTTTGATTGAATACCCGAACATCCTCCGACACTCCACTTTCTCCATCACTTGACAAAGACCCATTTTTGCCACTAAATCCGCTGCTTTCCCAAGAAACCCGGAAAGGGGCGGCCGGTGGCCGAGTGAAAGGAAGTGGGTTGCCATCGGTTTGGGAAGAATTAGAAACAAAAGAAAAGAAAAGAGAGGAAAACCGGGAACTGGAAGACGACGACTTGAGGAAGTTTTTTATCCAAGGAGAGGAATTGGAAGATGGGTTTGGCACCAAGAAAGCCGTACAAGCAACAAAAGCAAATGTGACGCCATAAGCAAACACCATCGTTCTCCCCGTGGTGTACAGTGAAGAGACTGCCTTGGCTTCTGCTTTCGTCGGTGAATGATGCTTCGTTTCTGCTGACGGAGATTTTGAATCCGTCATTGCCAAGTCTGAGAAAGAGTTTGGAAGAGTGTAGAGTGAAGGTGGTGCAGTGATCGAAGAAGAAGATGGGCCGGTTTTCTGTGGAATGATCCATTTGGGTTTTTGGTTAATTACGAAATTGTCACTGTGCTGGTTAAGCCGTTAAATCCATGATTTCCAGCTGAAATCTTCTTTGGCATTAAAAAAAGGCTCGACCAACTGTAAATTTTTTTTTTTAATATTGTCTTTGTTTAGTTATTTAGGAAAAAAACAAAATAAATGTAATAAGGAATTTGATTTTATTCAGTCCAAACTAGAAAAAATTTTATCAAACTGAAACTTGGGAAAAATGTTTATCAAAACAACATAAAGTAAATTTCTTTTTAAGAAAAAA